GTTCTCCTTCAAATCTGAATCCACAATAGAGCAACACAGAGTGTACTCTACTTGAGGGGCACCTGTGTACGAAAATAGCGGCTTCTTGCACAAGTCCTGACTCCTGAGTGCGAATAGCAGTCACGGGCTCACAGCATCCGTTCCCCCCCGCCCTCCCCCCCAACCCTTCTCTCTGATAGTTCCCCTGCGAGTCGATAGTTATCTGCGCTACGTTGAGTGCGATGCGAGTCTGCCATATCGGTTGTCTGCCAGGCTGGCATCTTCTTGTGACAGATCAGAATCAGGTGACAAGCTCAAACAAGCTCGTACTGTGGACGCATGCGGAAAACAAGCGCTGGACCAGCACAGATTAGATTCACATCACACACTCTAATCTGTCATCTTCATGATATTTTCTCGTCAAATCAGCGTTGTGCTTCCGTGTCGGTGGGCAGAAGAAATCCACGTCGACAGATAGTGCCTTGACCCGAACCGACTTCGCGCAAACACGACGGGTCATTGTGGAGAGGGGAGCTTGCTGCTGTTGCACGATGGCGGAAGTGCATCCTCCCAAACCAACCACCCGACCTCCAGCACCATACACGCGTCCTCCCCAACCTTTTTCCCAACCTCCTCCAAATCTCTCCCTCCCCTCCCCTCCCTCCCATTCCCCCGTCTCCTGGCGTGGAGTTGGTGGTCCCATTCTTCAACGGTCAGACTCAATGTACACTTTCTGCCCCATGTTTCTTATTCGAAAGGCCCTAACTTTTGCAACGCCTACCTTTGGTAAATCCACACAGGCAACACATAGATTAAAGTCACATGGTAGACGGTGCTCAATGTTCTTTTCTTTGGTTGTAACTGCAGCGAAAATGTACAAGCCATCGGCAGTCGTAAATGTTTAAAAAATATCTAGGTTTACATCTTGCAAAGCCTTTGTCAGAATGTTATCTTATGCTCTAGCCTGTAGTGGGGTGCTCTATAGCGAGTACAACCCTTCTAGGGTTTGCTATTTGTATCCTCATTCTTGCTAGTGCAACCTCTCTTCTTCTCTCTTCTCTCTTTTAAACTTAACATGCTATCAGAGCAGGTCGATCCCCTTGGATCGATCCTGTGGGTGGGCTCACCACCTTGTTGCTTCCGCTGCAACTGCTACTGCTACTCTCTGTGCCGCACGCTTCGTGGCGTGCGGCAGTTTTTTCTTCCCGCCGTGCGCCCCGAGGCGCGCGGCGGTTTTCTGCCCGCCGTGCGCCCCGAGGCGCGCGGCGGTTTTCTGCCCGCCGTGCGCCCCGAGGCGCGCGGCGGTTTCCTGCCCGCCGCGCGCCCCGAGGCGCGCGGCGGGTCGCGCGACCCCTACAGCCCCGTCGCGCCGCCCAGGGGAGCCGCGCGCGACCCCTGCAGCCCCGTCGCGCCGCCCAGGGGAGCCGCGCGCGGCCCCTGCAGCCCCGTCGCGCCGCCCAGGGGAGCCGCGCGCGACCCCTGCAGCCCCGTCGCGCCGCCCAGGGGAGCCGCGCGCGGCCCCTGCAGCCCCGTCGCGCCGCCCAGGGGAGCCGCGCGCGACCCCTGCAGCCCCGTCGCGCCGCCCAGGGGAGCCGCGCGCGGCCCCTGCAGCCCCGTCGCGCCGCCCAGGGGAGCCGCGCGCGGCCCCTGCTGCCCCGTCGCGCCGCCCAGGGGAGCCGCGCGCGGCCCCTGCAGACCCGTCGCGCCGCCCAGGGGAGCCGCGCGCGGCCCCTGCTGCCCCGTCGCGCGGCCCTGCTGCCCCGTCGCGCTGCCCAGGGGAGCCGTGCGCGGCCCCTGCTGCCCCGCCCCGTCCCCGACCTGCCCCGGCCCCGACCTGCCCCGGCCCAACTCCCGTCGCCCGTCGCGGCGCCCTGGGGGGGGCCGCAAGCGCCCCCCCCCCAGGGTCGCCTCGACAGGCGACGGGAGGGGAGTCTACCGGGGACCGCGCGTTGCCCCCCCCCCCCCCCCCCACCTCCCTACCCTGTTTTTAGGGTTTGGGGGGTAGTGGTTGGGGGGTGGCGGTTGGGGGGTGGCGGTTGGGGGGTGGCAGGTGTGTGGCGTCGCCTGCTCCTCCTCCTCCTCCGTCTCCCTGTGCTGCAGCTGCCGCTGAGGGGGGGTGGACGTGTTGGAGCCGGTGGAGTGGTACTAAGGGGGTGTGAAGGGGGAGTGGAGCTAGCGGTGTAGCAGCGGGTGTGTGCCAGGGGGGAGTGGGATAGTTTGGGGAAGCTGCACGGAGGTTGCCGTCGTGTCGCCAGCAGCACCTGTAGTCCGGGGACTTCGTCCGGTAGCCCAGTCGTAGACTTCTACGCCAGCCGCCCGTGGGTCCGTTGCTCGTCTGCCGCTACTTTAGCCGCGGGGCCTGTTACTCCTGTAGTCCGGGCGCTTAGTCCGGTAGCCGCTGTGCCAGTCTGCCTCCTGTTGCCCGTGTGTCTGCAGCTTCAGCCGTCGCCTCCTATCTCCTCTCCCCTCACTCTCTCTCCTCCTCCTCGCTTGCCCGTTGTGACCACCACTAGCTTTGCTCATAATTGTACCCTTTAAACTATTCCTTCTTGAACTTGTGCTCAGAATGTGTGGTGACATTGTGATCCACCCTGAGCTTGTACTGCTTTTCTTGCTCTGCTGATTACACCCCACTTTGGCTATGGGGGTGTGTCAGAATGTTATCTTATGCTCTAGCCTGTAGTGGGGTGCTCTATAGCGAGTACAACCCTTCTAGGGTTTGCTATTTGTATCCTCATTCTTGCTAGTGCAACCTCTCTTCTTCTCTCTTCTCTCTTTTAAACTTAACAGCCTTTGCAGTCCATTTGTGGAATATACCAGGCGAACTAGAATTATCTCCCTGCATAATTCCTCCGACACTGCTCTCGTTGATACTTTGCAAAGCCTAATTTTATGAAATTAGGATCTTACCCATGATTTCATGCAATATGAGGCCCTAGCCTTATTAGGTTACTAAGATCCTTATACAAGTATATAAAAGGATAAATATGAGTCAGGAAAAACATTTTTTTAGTATGTGTTAGATTTTAAGTTTTCTTCTGCAGGAAACACTACACCGTGCTCCTCGTATTCGTCAAAACACTCCAACTACAAATACTTTTAGAGAAACCATACATCCTTTATGCATATAACAAAAGAAATGATTAGGTATAAACCCTTGAATGTGTTGATAAATTCAGGAAATTGATAGCATTTCTAACCATTGTTACTGCTGGCTTCATGATCTGGCTATCAAAGAAGCAATGCTCTAAGATTTCCTTCGCCCGGCAGTAGAGGCATATTGCATCGTCCCCTAAATATGGCACTTTTTTTCTTACGAGGAACGTATTACTAGACATGACCTAGAGAGAAAATGTTGCAGATAGGCCATATCTGCAGTTGAAGGCGTTGATTACATACAACTGAAACTGCACGTGTAATGTCATCAGATATTTGAAAGGATTGCCACATAAAATGGTTGTCGTTTCGCTCAGCTGTCCTGAAAATGCTTGCGTGACTAGAATGAAGATCAAGTGTATTGAATGAAGCACCTACAAGGGTTCGTCAGCCAATGAAGTATATTTGCCATGGAAATCCGCACCAACGTGCCCGTATCGTTTCAGTGTCAGGCGAATAAATCTGGTACAGAGGAGAAGCTTCTATTGTTATCCAGCCTCGAAATTGTTGGGGGGGTGGGTTTCTAGCCAGAAACGCATTGCATGTATGTTCCTCACGGTTGCTCTTTCAGTCATAGTACCTCTCCCCTCGTGTACGTAACGGTACTGGCCTATAACATCAACATTTTGTCTAACCGACGTGTCTCTCAATTACTGCAGTTTAGCAGTTTGGCAGACATTTGGACAGATGAGTGTGGGGTGACATTGGTACCCATGTGGAAAGGAACACCAGTATGGATCCTACCTAATTCGGCTATTTCAAGGCTGATTTTTAAAACGTTCAAGCCAGATACAACACCAAAATGTTTCATTCTATCAGCGGCTAAATGCCCGTGTTAGTCAGATTGTGTAAGTGTTGTAGGGTGGACCGCATAAATGTTCCCGGTAATGCGTCTGTTGGTCCGTCTGCTTCACAACACCCCCCTCCACCCACAGTGTCAGTGCAACTTCCAGGCTGGAACAGAGGTTTCTTTCTGTTCCTCCCCTCCTCTCCTCATCACGAGGGGCTGACTGCGCGAGAGCACTATGGCTGCCGCGTTAGTTGCCCTCCGTGTCATGCGAACTCAGAAGCAAACGTGGCACATCGTGTTTGGAGAACAGATTCGTTCTGCAGAGCTCTTGCGAAGCACGCAAGCAGGTCAAGCTAACTACACTGTAGTACACGCAGAGCAGCTCTCACGCGGCTCGAACCGGGTTCTCTCTGGGGTAGGCGTTTGCGTTGGTTTTCCGTCTGCGGCTCTTAAACCTTCTACCTCGCACAGCACGAGGGGCACCAGCAGAACCCGGCACTTGCTCTGCGTACGGACCTATGGTGTCTCGTAGGCCGTTCGCACGCCTGCAGGTCATGAGCAGCCTGCGGCAGCCCAGCCAGCACCTGGATATCATTTACTCAGTTCTGTAAGCACCGACGTATGATGGTGATGATGGTCCAACCACCACCGGGCAGGGGTCCTTGCAGCGCGAAATCGAATATCAGTATGAGCCGCCGAAACGCCAAAGGCGTTCCAGAACAGTAGTGCTACCACAGTGCTGCTAGTGGAACCTACAGTGTTAGAACTGTTGCAAGTCAGTCAGCAAGTACTCATTCTGTATTGGTCCTCCTTTCTAAGAAAGCGTCCATAGTGGTGGACGGACGAGTCGATTCATTTGGAGTACATAGGCCAAGAATCTCATCCACGGGTTATGTCACAGCCATCCATTTTTGAAAGCTTCAAACCTCAGGACCTCAGAAACGCGATCGCACCACAAAGATTGTGCGACTCTTCTTTTGAAGGCATCGACGCCCGCACCGCTATTACGGCAGACCATTTAGATAATACCATGGCCGCAGACTTCGGAGGAACGATGGTCGACTCCGCGCGATTCATGCGCTACGACAATCACGTCACGTTAGCTTCCGCCGGCGCCGGCGATGCATCTGCAGCATCAGAGCCGATGGAGATGGAGGATTGCTCTCACCACCGTCAACTACTTCTAGCAAGAGCCGCAGCAGCAGCCGCCGTTCCAGCGAGCACTACCACCGCGACCACTGACAGTGCTTCCGCCGACGGCGCCACCGGCAGTGCCGGCATTGCCGCCCGCATGCTGCCGTTCGCAACGGCGCCGCTGGAATCAGTATACGCGGTCGCGCGGGAGGAGCTCGGCCGGGGGGAGTTCGGCGTCGTCCGGACGTGCATGCAGCGCGCGACGGGGCAGCTTCTAGCGTGCAAGTCCGTCGACAAGGCGCGGCTACGCGAGGGCGAGCGCGCGGGCGACTTGGAAATGGAGCTCCTCTGCATGGGCGCACTTCCGCCGCATCCGCACGTGGTGCAGCTCGCGAGCGTGCACGAGGACGCGCGCGACGTGCACCTCGTCATGGTTGCTATTACCCGTGGCCCTATGGCTCCTCCGAGTGGTCTTTTTCACTTTAATGCTATTGAGGAGGAGTCGGCAGGACGTGCTTCTAGTGGAAGTACCGGCCAGAGACGGAGGAGGCGATGCCATGAAGCTGGCGGTGACCTTCGAAGATGCTGACTATATTAGCTAATGCACGGCGCGATGACTAACCTACTATGATCCTATTTATTTGGCATAATACATGGAACATCCATGATCAATAAATAAAGCTCAGCACGTATTGCTAGGATCTGGCATTGTCCAAATGTCTTTTGGTGTATTTTTATGTACTAAATTTCCAAACAGTGCAGCATTTTCTTTGTTTTCGCATTTGATGCATCATGTACCATCATGCAAAACCTTTCCTCTGTGAAGCGACGGAATGCTTCACTTCGGGTGGTAACTTGGTTTTTGGCGAGTTCATAATTCAAGAATCTTGAATTTGAAAACAGCCATGTGGAACTTGGGCTTTAATGAATAAGAACAGAGGGAAACGGCTTTCTTCGCGAGGACCACCATCACCTTCACACCTGCGATGCGCAAATGAGGCAAATACAGTAGAAGCACCAGCCAGCCGCGTTTGTCTTTCTTTCCTCGGGAGGGACGTACTGTAGTGTCGGAGGCGAGGGCACATCAGAGCACACAAGTGGTTCCGTAGTCACTGGCTGGCTGCGGTTTTGGGTATCAGGCGCTGCTCTTGTGCATTGCACCCAGCACAGATGTCAGCAGCAGCACCAACGCACAGAAAGTACAGTACACCATCTCTTGCGTACGGGCTCGTTATCCGACTCTTGATCTCTTCATGAATCCGCCACTGGCTGAATCAGTGCAGTGCCACTCAGTTTTGGTATCGATGTAAGATCAATAAAGTATTCTTTAGTTTTGTGTGGACTTTAAAGCCGGCAGCCCAAATTGCACAAGTTTTAAAAACTTGGCAATGGGGTTCAACGGGTGGCGAGGGGTGTGAAAGCGAAAGTTGGGAGTCGAAAGAAGGCACACCCAGGGAGCGCATTCGCGAATTGTTTAGCGAACTGCCCAGTCAAACAACAGGAAACCAGTCAATAGAAATTGTCGCACGGCGAGCCACACATCGCGACCCAAAAACACACAACACAACACTTCCGCAGCTCTTGCACTGTCACACACACAACACCACGACCTGCGTTTCCAACAACAAACCATGAGGCCCACTAGTTCTTACTGCATATAGCAGCCAACTAAAGTAGGCGGCACGAGCAAGCACACTTGCGCAGTGTACGATAAAACTGTCAAATTCTTAGCATTACGACAGCAACAAAGGTTGTGCTTGAGAGATAGAACGTCAGGCGACCCTCATCAACAAACAGAAACACCTTATTCGGGACGGCGAGATAGGGAATATGGCCCATCGACCTTCCAAGGGTGCTTCCCGAAGGTATCTAAAAGCTGTAGACATGGCACGAACGTTGGCGCATTCTGAAAGCAGCGGAATTTGGCGGAATATCAAACACTGAAATAAATATCTTCAATTCACCCTCCCGTCGTCATCGCTTTCTCCTCCCGTCGCCAGCGCCAGGGGCATCATGTGCCGCGGTTTTCGGTTGCCCTGCGTACTGAACATTTCGATAACTCGTCATATAACTCTAACAGCATCCCGCAGTACATGGACGGTTGTGAGGCAAGGCACAGCTATGTGCTCGCTGCAGCTTTTTTTACCCATTTCAAAAGAGGCACCCGTATCTTGATTGAGTGGGCTATAATATCGTGTCGTGCTCGAGCACAGTTGGTTCTCATCATACAATACTCTTGCCTCAACACAAGTCTCATGCAATAGAGTAGTTTTGTAGCCTGTTGTAGTAGCATGGGATCTACTGCTTGGCATGACTAATTATGTAGGGTGTTCAGGGTGTAGCAGGTCCACGTGATGCTCAAGAAATTCGCTACTATTGGACACGTGATTGCTGGAGCCTCTGCAATGCAGACATGGGCAGGAAGGACAGGGAAGATGACAAATGTTATAAGTAGGCATATGGGGAACCCAATCACAGGGAAGAAGGGGAAAATAATAACAGGGCAGAGTAGTGGGGGAATTAGAAAGAGTGGGGAACCAGCGAAATCGCTTATGACTGGAGGAGTGAGATGGGCCGAGTGGGGAGAAGGAGGCATGAATTCAGCTCAACACTGACTGCAGTCAAAATGCAAGAGATTCTGGTGGTGAGGCAGGGAGAGAGGTATAAGTGTACGATGGGCAAATAGGCAGCTGTACGAGTGGAGTGGAGTAGCCATTCTGTGCATCAGCAGCAGAGGCGGCGGAAGGAAGGAAACAGCTGAGCCTCCACGGGGTGGATGGCATGCTGCTGCAAACGAGGCGTCATGTGGAACTGGCATGCAGGTTTGGGGCATGGAGAATGAGGCATGGGCATGGGGGCATGAGAGACATGCATGGTCGAGCCCGTGAAAGCCTAGATGCACGCATTCACATAAACCTTAGCTTGTAGGTGCAAGCGCTTCAAAGGGTTTCTCACCGCCCCCCTTTCAATAGAACCACTCTCATCCTCTAACTTGACCTCATGAAAGCAGCAGTGACGAAATAACTTGGCGCACAACACACAGAACACACCCGGTGCAGACTCAAGCCAACTCTTGAGACGCATCCCAAGATCTCTATGCCTCCCACCAACCGCACCTCATGGAACCAGGTGAGCCAGAAGAAGTCAGCGCGGCTTGCAATGGGGTTCAGCAGCGGGACACAGCCGAAGGGCAAACGGTGAGGAGAGGGGAGCGGGGGTTGGTGTATGGGTGGCACCATAGAATCTCACACTGTCATTTCACCTGACAGGTGGAGACCACCTGAGGTCAGGCTGTCACCTGAAAGTATCTTCTCCCCGTATAGTTCCTGGTCAGGCTGCCCACAGCATCCGCAGACAAAACAGGACACATGCACCAATGCAGGAGAGAGGAGAGGACGAGGGGGTAAGAAGGGGGGAAGTAGGGGTAAGACCATCTGCCGTGTTGGGCCAGTGTTGTAAGACCATCTGAGGAACAACACAGGCACAACAGGGTGGCCAGGGTAAGAAGTCCCCCTGTTAGATAGTCAGGAAGCTTCACAAAAGAGGGTGGGTATGTGTCCCAGCCCAGCAGCAGTGTGGTGCAGCTCTCACCTGTGCCTCCTAGAACTCCACTTCATCATCCCACTCCTCATCCTCCTCCTCCAACTCTTCCTCCTTCTCCCACCCTTCCCCTTACCCCTCACCTCCCTCACTCTCACTCCCTTGTGTCATCCTTCCCTCCTCCCCTCCCTCCCTGCTTCCATACCACCCGCTGTCATTCCCTCCCTCTTGCCATGAGCTTCAGGTTCGGAGGCAGGTTTGGGAACAGGCTCGGCAGCAGGGTCAGGAGAAGCGAGGGGCCTTGGAACAGGGACTTGGTGGCTTGTTCTTGTCGGTGATTGCAATGACCTGATGGCAGGCAGAGAAGGGAGGGGGGTGGCCGAAAGGGAGAGGGGAGGAGAGGAAGAAAGGGCCGGATGGAAGGGCTTTGGTGTCATTGAGTTGTGTAGGTACAACGCAACTCATGTGCGCGTCATGACTGCTCCCAAAAGGCGCTGCTGCCAATGAGCCCGAGCGCAGTGTGACAGACCAACCAACCATACCCGTCAGGGCAAGATAGGGATCTCACGGACGTTAGGCGATGGACAAGCCATCATGGCAGCAGTGAGCAGAGAGCGCACTGCTACCCTGGGGCCTGGCCTGGCCTGAGGGCGCCGATATGAGCTGCGCACTCATTGCCACATGTGCGTAAAACACGCGCAAGTGCCGCCAGATCGCCACTCGCCTGGGTGGGGAGGAGAGGCGAGAGGGGGAGAGTGGGGGGAGGAGGATGGAAAGGGGGGATGGAAGGAGAGAAAGTTTGCTACACCCCTCACACGAGGAGCCAGGCCCGGACTCGACCTCGATGGCGAGGACCGTGGCACGGGAGCGGGACAGAAGTGAATGTTGCAGAGGGGGAGCCCACACGGAGGGGCGGAAAGGAGAGAAGAATACAGAGAGCCTATGGGACGTAGGGGACGCAAGGCTATGAGAGGATGCGGCGGAACGAAGAGGGAAGGGGAGAGGAGGGAAATGAGGTGAGGAGAGGGGAGGTGCGAGGAGAAGAATAGGGGGGCGACGGAAGGAGCTTTGATCACGATGGCGCAAAAGGGACGCCACTTTGCTGCCCACGGACGGGCGGCGGGGAAGGGTGGGGAGGGGAAATGGGGACAGTGGGGAGAGAGTGAGCAGGAAGCGAAGGCGACGGGAAGGGGAAGTGGAGGGGGCGGGAGGGGGAAGTGGCGGCGATGGGATGGGGAAGTGGAGGCGACGGGAGGGGGAAGTTCAGGCGACGGGAGGGGGAAGTGGAGGCGAAGGGAGGGGGAAGTGGAGGCGACGGGAGGGGGAAGTGGAGGCGACGGGAGGGGGAAGTTCAGGCGACGGGAAGGGAAAGGGAAGGCGACGGGAGGGGGAAGTGGAGGCGACGGGAGGGGGAAGTGGAGGCGACGGAAGGGGGGAGTGGAGGCGACGGGAGGGGGAAGTGGAGGCGACGGGAGGGGGAAGTGGAGGCGACGGGAGGGGGAAGTTGAGGCGATGGGAGGGGGAAGTGGAGGCGACGGGAGGGGGAAGTTGAGGTGACGGGAGGGGGAAGATGAGGCGACGGGATGGGGAAGATGAGGCGACGGGATGGGGAAGATGAGGCGACGGGAGGGGGAAGATGAGGCGACGGGAGGGGGAAGTGGAGGCGACGGGAGGGGGAAGTTGAGGCGATGGGAGGGGGAAGTGGAGGCGACGGGAGGGGGAAGTTGAGGTGACGGGAGGGGGAAGATGAGGCGACGGGATGGGGAAGATGAGGCGACGGGATGGGGAAGAGGAGGCGACGGGAGGGGGAAGATGAGGCGACGGGATGGGGAAGATGAGGCGACGGGATGGGGAAGATGAGGCGACGGGAGGGGGAAGTGGAGGCGACGGGAGGGGGAAGTTCAGGCGACGGGAAAGTACAGGGAACATCGCATACTTTGCATTGGGTACTTGTTTGCGCAGTGATCATTTCAAATACGGACCGTAAACCAAAGGGCTGCGCGGATTTCCATGAGGTCGCTTGTGCGATTCGAATGACGACACGGCTTTTTTCCGGTCCGAGGCGTAGAGAGCTTCCTCAGGATGCGCGATGAAACCCCACGCGATCTCTGTCTACGCCATGAGACGCAGCGCGTCGAGGCGCAAGGCGTCGAAACGCTGCGCGAGGTGACGCAGCGCGATGTACGAAGCTGCGAGCAGCTTCGTCGACATGGCAAGTCGACGGAGTGCCGGCATGGTTGGGACTACTATCTAAACGACCTTCGGCCATACGACGAACGCGACCATCGCCGTCGCATCGTCTGGATGTGCGCTCTGCTCGGAGGTGCCAGAAACAGGCAATAGCACCAGTACCATCAATGCCCCTATTTTCCGCTGCTGGCGCCCCATAGTTCATCGTATATAGCATTACGATTGAGAGCAGGCGTGCCATGGCCGTTCCTACTGTGCGTTCGAGTTGTGCGTGGGCTTTTTTGTTAGTGCGGAAGGTACTTGTTTGTGTCCAAGAGTCCCAAATTGCACACCCTCGTTTTCAAGTTTTTGGGTGTGTGTTGGTTCTGCCGAACCCTGGTATGCGACTGAAGGCAATTGTGTTCAATCTCATTGGTTCACAAGATAGGGGTAGTCAACTCTCATTGGCTCACAGCCTGAGTTGTGTCGCGCGGACCTCTGTCTCCCAGAAACTTGGTAACCCGAAAGTCAGGGGAACAAGTTTTAAAAACTTGAACCGCGCGGCTTGCAATTTGGGCCGCGGGCTTTAAGATATGATGGAGGGCCTAGTAAATTCTTGGGAGTGTTTTTTTTCTTAAAGCCCGAGTCCCAAATTGCGAGGCGCGTGGGTCATGCTTTTAAAACTTGACGAAGTGCACTGTGCAAGCTTTGAAAAATAGAACACCTGCAATTTGGGACTTTCGGGTGCTCACACAACCCCCAGGGCGGAATACGTGGGCTGGCTGGGTTTGGCGAAAAAAACGAAATGTCCGAAATCGGAATCACTCGCCAAAACCCAAACCAGAAAAAACCCCTCGCGTCATCCTTTTAAAACTTGTGCAATTTGGACTTCCGGCTTTAAGACACTACAGTACAGTGAAGCCGCAATGCCTCAAGCATCCCACCATCCCACCATGCCAGTAGCACACGCGTTGCAGCAACGGGTGCACGATGGTTGCTTCAGCAGAAAGCACAGGATCATGATAATTCTATGCACTATCGAATTCCAAGATGCGCGAAATGCAGGAATTTGAGGTAGTAGCACGTCGGCCGTTTTGACAATATGATGATTCACATCCATTATCAGACAGGCTAGCAATATTCCTTTTCTCCATTTCCCCGTTTGAAGCCTGTCATACCAGTGTCGAATACGATCATGGCAAAACAAGACTTCTGCTGAAACCATACCCGGGAAAAGTAGTAAGTAACACCCGGATCCTGTTACTAGCAAGGTTCACTACCCTAAATGACCGGTGGCAGTGCTAGTACTACTAGTAGTCCTGTGAATGCCGAGTTGGCAATGTCTGCGCGGCTGTTAAAAGCAGTACCGCGATGGCAGCCGTGGGTGGCGCACCGGCCCGGTGGACGGCGGCGGTGCTGTCGAGGTAGACGCGCCGCGACCGCGGCCCTCCGGCGACGCAGCGGCGTCGTCTGCGCGACGGAATCCGTCGCCGCTCGTGAACCTCTGCGACGAGGGCGATTCGCAGACCCCGGTGACGGCTTACCAGTGCGCTGCCTACAGCTCCGACGACGACGACGACGACGACGATTCCGGCGACTGTCCCGCCAATCATCCTCTGCCGCGCGCCGCCGATCTGGTCGCTGCGACAGATTCGCGAGCGACGACGACGACGACGACGAGTCGATACGTGCCTTGGCTGTTCCTACTGCCAATTCTCCGTCGAGGCGGAACGATCAGAGTCGCCGACGTCTGTGTCTGTCGCACCGCGCCGCGGTGGACCGGCGTATATGTCTCGCACTCGTTGTCGTCCTCGCGTGGCTCTTCTGTCTCCCGGGGACTAGATCGGCCGCCATGGCAACGGGTGGAACGAATCAGGTGAGCCAACGTCTTGCTTGCTCTCCCCAATGGGTGTACCCCCCCCCCCCCCCCCCCCCCCCCCCCACCCTCTCCCCATTTTTCCCTCTCCTCCCCTCTTTTCTTTGCTTGCTTCCCACGAAATTATGCTTCTTTTTTCAGGGCTCAAAACGCGAGACGACTCAAAACCCTTGCCTTGGTTGACCTCTCCGCCTCCTGCCCCTCTTACTTCCTCCGCCATTGCCCCCGCCCGCGCATCCCTCCGCCCGTCCGCGCCCTCTTTCTTGCGCCATGTCACTCCTTGGATGCCTCTCTCTCCCCCTGCACGCTGCGCGCACATTGGTTTCCCGCCTGATTCCGACACAGCTATCACCCACCGCCTCCATCCTGCTCTCCATCCCCCCCCCCATTCACTCACACTGCTCCGCACTCTCCCTGTCCCTCCTGCCCATACATTCCCTCCCACTCTCCCTCTCCCCTCTCGTCCCCTCTCCCCCCGCGCAGCCTGTGAGCGCGCAGGACATGGGGCGGCGCAGCAGTGCGCGGAGCCACGCTCATACCCCTGCGCCTGCGCCTGCCCTGCCCTTTCCGCCATCCGCGCCTGCCATGTCCGCCTGGCGCAGAGGGGCAGCGGGAGGAGGAAGTGGGGGATGGGGAGGAGGTGGAGATGGAGGGGGAGGGGGAGGGGGAGGGGGAGGGGGAGGAGGAGGGGGAGGGGGAGGGGGAGGGGGAGGAGGAGGAGGAGGGGGAGGGGGAGGAGGAGCGCGGAGGGCGATGGTGGAAGATGGAGTGAGCAGCGGGAAGGTGCCTACTGCAAGCGGGTGTGCAGTGAATCAGGTGAGCCGGGCCTGGCGTGTGGAGAAGCGCTGTAAGGGAGATTTTGTCAATGTGCAGTGTGGTAAAGAAGAGTCAGAGGAAGTAAGTGGAAGAGGTGTGGCAGTCAGGAGTCTGGAGTCAGGCTCCAGTGCACGTGGTTGTGTGGTCGGGGATTTTCCTTCTTGCTACCTTCGGACCTTGCTTGCCTCCTGAATCGGCTTGCACCCATGCATGCGTGTGCATGAAAAGCATGTGCATACTGATTGTGGGTGTGTGTGTGTGGAGGAAGGGGGGATGGGGTGGGAAGGAGAGACAAGGTTTTTTTTGTTTTGTTTTGTTTTGTTTTTTTTTCCCACAAAAAAATAGAACACAAATACCAATGCTGTACCACCTATAAGTGGTATCAAATGCTCGGCTACACATTTCAGCCACCCTCTCTCCGCTTCCCTCTCCCCATCCTCACTCCACTACCGTTCTCCCCTTTCCAATCTCCCCTTCCCCTCTCCTCCAACATCCGTCCCCGCATCCTCAACCCCATCCGTTCCCCCAAACCCCCCACTCCCCCCCCTCGTCCCTGCTCTCCCCCCTCCCAGTTCCCCTGCCCAGGCTCAGGCTGCATGGCAGCAGGCGGGATGCTGTGTGACTTTCACCCTGACTGCACAGACCATTCAGATGAGGACCTAACTTACTGCGTCCAGAGGGGCTTCTGCCTGCAATGCGCTTCCTCCCCTTCCTCCTGCACCCCTGGTGCTCTTTGCAACGGCGTGAATGAGTGCCCACGCACGAAGGACTATACCGGGTTGCCTTATACCGAGGACGAGGATCCAGAGATCTGCCTGACGTTTGAGTGCTGGGAAGGGGCGGAGATTAAGTGCGAGGGCAGCTGGGCGTGTTTGGATAAGGAATTGTTTTGTAACGGGCAGAACGACTGCCCGGTTTCGGAGCCGAGTGTGCGCTATACACCAAATGAGGACCCGAGTTTCTGTCAACAGTATGAGTGCCCGCAAGGGTACAAAAAATGCAGCAGCAGTAACGTGTGTCGCAGGGAAGGGGATTTCTGTAACGGGCGTAACGACTGTCCGGTTACCGACTCCTCAAAGCCGTATACCGATGATGAGGAGCCTAGCTTCTGCTCGGGTTTCGCGTGCGCCTCTGGTTACCGCAAGTGCAACAGCAGTAACACGTGCATACCCGACTTCCTCTTCTGCGATGGAGCGAACGACTGCCCTGTAACGAAACCAGGTTCAGCTTATACTGAGGACGAGGACCCCCAGTTCTGCCGGTCATTCCCGTGCCGGTATGCCTCGGAACGGCGGTGTGACAGTAACTGGATGTGCATAAATCGAGCGCTGTTCTGCGATGGAAAGAACGACTGTCCTGTAACAGACCCTTCCGTTCCTTACACGTTCGATGAGTCTCCTTCTGCGTGCCACTCTCACCGGTGCAAGGCGCCTCAGGTGAAGTGCGAAGGGTCGTATGCATGCATAGACGCGGCCAAGATGTGTGATGGGAGGAACGATTGCCCTGTTGTGAATGGAAACGGAGGGGCTGCTGTTGGGGGAGGCACAGGAGCGACAGGATCCGCTGCTTCCTCTCTGTTTTCTCCTGACGAGGACCCAAAGGTGTGCCTTGCATGCCCGAGACCCGGAGATGAAATGTGCAGCAGCAGCAGCAGCAGCAGCAGCGGCGGCGGCGGCAGCAGCAGCGGCGGCGGCGGCAGCAGCAGCGGCGGCGGCGGCAGCAGTGGCGGCGGCGGCGGCAGCAGCAGCGGCGGCGGTGGCAGCAACAGCAGCGGGAGCAGCAGCAGCAGCAGCAGGCAGTGCTTAGCTAAGTACCGGTGGTGCAACGGGGTCAACGACTGCCCGGCAAGCGCAAACCAATCCCGGCCGTACACAGAGGACGAGGACCCCGTGATGTGCCGCGCTCGATCGTGTGCAGAGGGATACCGCAAGTGTCCGAACAATGTGCAGTGTGTGCCGGACGTGGCGTGGTGCGATGGCTTCGTGGACTGCAAGCTGCTTGGCAACTGGAGCGACAAGAGCAGAAGTAGTAGTAGTAGCGGCAGCAGCGGCGGCGGCGGCGGTGGCAGCAGCAGCAGCGGCGGCGGCAGCAGCAGCAGCGGATCATCAGCATCAGTGGCAGCCAAGTACTGGGTGCGAGCGACCTCTCCCTCCGTGCTGGACGAGGACCCTGCGTTCTGCCAGCAGTGGGAGTGCACGGCTGCCATGGCCAAGTGCCCCCGCAACCCCTACTGCGCCAGCACTGTGCTCTCACCTCAGGAGTTCAAGCGCCAGTGTGCAGGTATGCATGGGGTTGGGACATTTGGGGATTCGGGGTCGGGTCTAGGGTTGGGACTTGAGGTCGATTCTGGGGTTAGGACTGGGCTTGGGACTGGAGTTGGGGTAAAGGTTTGGGTGAGAGAGGGTCCGGTGGTGGGGTTTGCTGTGTGTTTGCTTTGCCGCCAAGTGCGTCTGTGTGCATGTGGGGGGTGGATGCGTGGGCTGGTGTGCAGTTGTGAGGTATTTGTGGTATGCAGGAGATGGGATGGAGTGAGATGGTATTTGTGACCGCACGTGCCTGGCGAATGGTGTGTCTTGTATTAATTGATTGCCAAGGGGAGACACCCGCCTGTCTTTTCCTTCAGGAATATGCACTCCATGTGCCTACCATGCTGTTAGCCCTGTTCTGTCCACCCACTCCTAATCTCCACCTTTTCATCATGCATTGGCAGCCATGAATGCTCTCAGCAAAACCAGCAGCAGCAGCAGCAGCAGCAGCAGCAGCAGCAGCAGCAGCAGCAGCAGCAGCAGCAGCAGCAGCAGCAGCAGCAGCAGCAGCAGCAGCAGCAGCAGCAGCAGCAGCAGCAGCAGCAGCAGCAGCAGCAGCAGCAGCAGCAGCAGCAGCAGTGAGTCATCATCATCACCCCAGTCAGGGAGGTCGAGCCGGAAGAGACCAGGAGTGGGCAGCACAGCATCAGGCACTGGAGGCACTGTCACTGGCCCTGCCACTGGCACTGCCACTGGCACTGGCACTGGCACTGGTTCTGCTAACCCTGCTGCTGCCACTGGCACTGGTTCTGCTGGTTCTGCCACTGGCACTGGCACTGGTTCTGCTGGTTCTGCCACTGGCACTGGCACTGGTTCTGCTGGTTCTGCTGGTTCTGCTGGTTCTGCCACTGGCACTGGCACTGGTTCTGCTGGCACTGGCACTGGCACTCCTGCCGCTGTCTCCCCTACTGCTCCTGGCTCAACCTCTCCCTCGGAGGCTGCTGGTATGGAGAAGTCGTCGAGTCAGCAAGGGAAGAGAGCCAATGGAACAGATAATGGAAGCAGTGTCTTGGGCCCTCTGGGTTCGACTTCTGGTGCTGATACCAGCTCCATCAACAGAGACCGAAGTGGCAGCAGCAGCAGCAACAACAGCAGCAGCAGCAGCAGTAGCAGCAAGCAGGCAGGTGATTCAGGGTCAGTGGCGACCGCACCACCGGCACCGATTCCAACCACTGTAGCTGCACCGATGCTATATCCAGTAGGGGAAACTGCAAAGAAAGAGCCTGGCAGTGTCAGGAAAGCAGTGGACGCTTCCAAGAAGGCGGCAGCAGATGCAGCTAAAAAGGTTGCTGACAAAGTGAAGGTGTCGATACGAAAGCAAAAACATTCATAAATTGTGGCATTCATTCGTTCTAATTGTTACATAACTGACGGCTGATGTGTTGTAGCATTTGTTTGACGTAACCAGGTATCTCTGACTCTTGTCTTTTGTATTGTAACTGTATGCTATATTGCACTACCACTTTCAATAATGTGCATGAATATTGTACGTGTCTCCAACAGAGGGCACGTTAATTGCAGTCGTCTATATTGAGTACGGAGAACATCTTTGGTCCACCACAATGCACTCCCCGAGATCGCACCATTCACCGCATTCCAATCCCATCCACCCAGTCAACTCCCCATCCCTCCCCACCACTTCCATCCCGCTATGGCCGCCTCTCTCCTCACGCTTACTCCGCCGCTCATTGCGGCGCGCAGCGGCACCTCGCAGCTCCTTCACTCGACCTCCTCCTCCTTCACTTCCTCCTCGTTCGGGCGAGCCGCGTCTGTCTGGAAGCCGATCCCGCTCCTCACGCTTTCCCAAGCTCGCCGTCGCTCCGTCCCTTCCTCTGCGATCGGCCCGCTCGTCACCGCACTGCCAGCAACGCCGAATTGCCGCGGGTCGAAGCGCGCGTCCATGGCTGCGAGGGCGTCGGCGACGGGAAGCGCGAGCGCGGAGGGGAGCGACGGGAGCAATGCGACGACGCGACGGGTGGTGGAGCACCTCGTGTACTTCCAGGTGGGTCTCTTGCCTCTCGAGAAGCACACAAAACGCGCTTGAGACGCGCTCGAGACGCGCTCGAGACTATTGAGGCTTCAAAACGGTTAATTCATTATCGGGCGGTGAGCTTCGGTCGAATGCGCGCCACTCTGCGTCCGGGGTGCCTTCCAAGTGCCGCCGCGTGCGTAGTATCGGCTAGCAGCAGCGGCTCGGCGCGGCGCAGTGCGGTGCGTGAAGCGCCCCCCCGCCAGCTCCCGCCCGACGTCGCATGTCGCGAATCCACATCGGCCATGTCTCATGTCGCATGTCTCATGTCGCATGTCTCATGTCGCATGTCTCATGTCGCATGTCTCATGTCGCATGTCTCATGTCGCATGTCTCATGTCGCATGTCTCATGTCGCATGTCTCATGTCGCATGTCTCATGTCGCATGTCTCATGTCGCATGTCTCATGTCGCATGTCTCATGTCGCATGTCGCATGTCTCATGTCGCATGTCGCATGTCTCATGTCGCATGTCGCATGTCTCATGTCGCATGTCTCATGTCGCATGTCTCATGTCGCATGTCTCATGTCGCATGTCTCATGTCGCATGTCTCATGTCGCATGTCGCATGTCTCATGTCGCATGTCGCATGTCTCATGTCGCATGTCGCATGTCTCATGTCGCATGTCTCATGTCGCATGTCTCATGTCGCATGTCGCATGTCTCATGTCGCATGTCTCATGTCGCATGTCTCATGTCGCATGTCGCATGTCTCATGTCGCATGTCGCATGTCTCATGTCGCATGTCTCATGTCTCATGTCGCATGTCTCATGTCTCATGTCGCATGTCTCATGTCTCATGTCGCATGTCTCATGTCGCATGTCTCATGTCGCATGTCTCATGTCGCATGTCTCATGTCGCATGTCGCATGTCTCATGTCGCATGTCTCATGTCTCATGTCGCATGTCTCATGTCTCATGTCGCATGTCTCATGTCTCATGTCGCATGTCTCATGTCGCATGTCTCATGTCGCATGTCTCATGTCGCATGTCTCATGTCGCATGTCTCATGTCGCATGTCTCATGTCGCATGTCTCATGTCGCATGTCTCATGTCGCATGTCTCATGTCGCATGTCTCATGTCGCATGTCTCATGTCGCATGGTCTGAAAGCGGGTAGTGCGTGGTTATCGAGCCTCGTGGTGTGAGTTCGTCGTAGTGTTCGTAGTTTTCTGTCGTAAAGCAAGGTGTGTCGTACTGAGAGAGAGTAATCGACCGGGCTTGCCTCCACTTTCTCCGTTTTCACCGCTTTCCCTCCTCCACCTCTCGTTCCCAGCCTCTTTCGTACCACTCGCTGCCAGCCCGTACCTTCAAATGCGGTGCCATAGCCAATCGACTTCTGAGTCCTTTCAAGTCCTGATTCAGAGTTACATTTTTTACGTGCAAAGCAGCTCTGATACCTATCAGACATGCTGTGTGTGTGTTGTGCCCGTCTACTACTATCAGAGTCATAGCATAGCATATGGCCTACAGTGTGACCCCATCCAGGTAGTTTATTTTTGGGAATGCTCCTTATAATAGCTTCGACGACGCCGCGTGCAGTTGTCTTTTGCGTTCCATTTGCAACAACCCTCACTTTCCATGCCGGTGAATGAACGTGACCACCAAGTTCAGTACCACCACTGCCTCTGTTTTCCCTCCCTCTTTCCTGCGTTCCCCCCACTCCCTCCCCCCATCGCTCCCCTCGTCACCATCAGCAAGTGAACCCCAGGCCCCCCATCCGCCCTAGCAGCCACATTCAAGAGCTTGCGCGCCCCCACAACTCCCTCATTCCCCCACCGCTTCCCACCACTGCCCCCACCCTCTTCCCCCCATCCGCCATAGCAGCCATGGTCAACGGCCTGCGCGCCCTCGCCTCCGCCCCAACCCTTTCCACCACTGTAACCTGCCTCTGCTCGTGTCCCCACTGCCCCATCTTCCCCTTTCTCCCTACTCTCTTCACTCGCCCCTAGCCCCTCTCCCCCCTCCACCAGGTGAAGCCCAGCACCCCGCCATCCGCTATAGCATCCATGGTCAACGACCTGCGCGCCCTCATAACTCCCTCATCCCTGCCCACCACTTCCCCTTCCCTCCACCCCCTCCCCCTCCCCCAGGTGAAGCCCAACACTCCGCCATCCGCCGTAGCAGCCATGGTGAACGGTCTCCGTGCCCTCTCCTCCGCCCCCGGGGTCCTCTTCCTTGCAGTCGGCTCCGCACTCCCCCTCCCGCCCGCGCTCGCCGCCTCTACCCCCGCCTCCCCCTGGACACATGCCCTTCTCGGCCGGTACGAGTCACGAGACGCCCTGCAGGCGTACGGAGCGTCGGCGGAGCATGTGAAGGTGGTGGAGGGGTGCATTAAACCGATTATCAGTGACATTCTGGCCGTCGACTGGGAAACAGACGTCAATGCCTCTGCCGATGCGAATGCTTCTTGCCTGCCCTTCTCAGTGATCCACTCTGTTGTCATGGAGCTCACACCACCCACCGACGCAGTGGCCATCCCCACCATGGTCTCCTCCCTCAAGGCGCACGTGGGCGAGATTCCCGGCCTGACCGAAGTATCCATAGGGGAGAATATCGCGCCGGCGCGTGCCAAGGGGTTCACGTGGGGGTTTGCGTCGTACCATGCGGATGAGGCGGCTCTGAGGGCGTATGCGGGGGACGAGAGGCACCGCCAGGTCATGGCGCAGACGGTGCTGCCGCTGGTGGCGCGGTTTAACTGGGTGGATTTTAGGGTGGATGAGGCTTTTGAAGAGACCAGCGCAAAGTTGTAGGGCCAGCAGCGGCAGGGTTCCTGCTACTAGTGATGGTGGTGCTGCTGGTGCTGCTGCTGCTGCTGCTGCTGCTTTGACTGGTAGTTGGGTGTAGGACAGGTGCGTGCCAAGAGGTTCACGTGGGGGTTTGCGTTGTACCATGAGGATGAGGCGGCGCTGAGGGCGTAGCGGGGCGACGAGAGGCACCGGCAGGTCATGGCGGAGGCGGTGCTGCCGCTGGTGGCAAGATTCAACTGGGTGGACTTCCGAGTGGACGAGGCCTTTGGTGAGGCCAGAACCAGATTGTAAGGAAGGGTTTCAGCTGCTGGTGGTGCTGCTGCTGGTGCTGCTGCTGCTGTCGGTGCTGGCGGTGCTGCTGCTGGTGGTGGGGTTGAACTGGGTGGATTTCCGCGTGGACGAGGCTTTTGGCGAGGCTAGAACCAGATTGTAGGGGCTGGTGTGGCCTTTGCCAATTCAAAAAAAATGACTTTCGTGTGGATGAGGTTTTTGGCAAGAGCAGTGCCAGATAGTATGGGGGAGTGGCAGCAGCAGGCCCTTCGATATCAGGAAATTTTCCCTGAAATTCCTGATTTTCAGCCTAGTTTTGTGTACCTACACTGATTTTTCAGTGTTGAGATTTTTGTGACACTGATTTTTCAGTCTTTTATCGAGGTGTACACTGAATGCACATTCCGAATCCTTCCCGTAAAACACCCCAGAGATTCAGTCAAGGGAAAATATGCCATAAGTAACCAAAATGTAAGTAGTAAGACACAGCTGACAGGATGAACTGTCTCAGTGGTTAGCGAAATTGACACCGAATGGTTGGGTTCCCGGTTCGAGTCCCTCGGCTGTAATATTACGTGAAGCTTTCTCCTTTTCAAAGGCATAATGTGTTAGGAAATTCAGGGCCCTTTTTTTAGGAACCCTGAAAATTCAGGCTTTTTTTTTTAGGAACCCTGAAGATTCAGGCTTTCTTTCACAGGGACCCTGATGCATCAACGTCCCTAAAAGTGAATCTGAGGGCCTGGGCAGCAGCGGAAGGTTTTCAGCTGGTGGTAGTGTTGGTGGGTGGGGATCCTGCTGATTGATGTGTTGCAGCTGGGACCAGGGGCTCTTCCCTGTAGAGGAGGATGGAGCAAGTTGCCTTTGCATCGTGCAGCCTTTTATCGGATTCTCCTCATAGGTACGGTAGCTTCAATTCAACAACATGCTTTTGTTATGCCAGAAACCGTGTGCTGGATACAGAATGCTAACGAGAATGTTCGCAAGGAAATTCTCCTGAGTCCTAGCAGCTCCCATGCACGGCATCGGTGGCACTGTTTGGTACCGGTACGGTAGGTTCTAATTTCTAAACCACACTACAGCTGCCTCCCTTTCACCAGGCAAGCTTGCTTCCCTATGCGCATACGCTACATTCTGCTTCGGGAAAGACACTAACCAGATGCTGTAGCTTCCCCGTTAAACTGCAGTCACCGACTCACCGATACACAGCCCTTGTACCGAGTATAGTAATCAGTTCACATCACACAGAACCACACTCACAGCAGAACATTCAGATAAGATCAAATTAGAACCTACTCCTCCACTGTCGACTCACTAGGCAAGCTTGCCTCCCTACGCGCATTTACAGCATTCTCCAGTGCAGTTGGATCAGCAGAGGGGAACACGCCAGCGAGGATCGTGAGCAGCAGCTGCCAATCGTCGTCGTCCATCTGGCGCTGAGAGGGTGGCCCCACGCAGCAGTCGAGAATGGCGTCTAGAGCCACCTCTGCCCTGGCCTCCACTGGCACTGCTGCTGCTGCTGCCTGCGCTGTCTTCACCTGCGGGTGAAAAGGTGGGTGGGTGGGTGGGTGGATGGGACAGGAAAAATGGGAAAGCGCGATGTGACTGAATGGGGAGAGAGAGCAGGGAGAGACGGAGGGGTTTCTGGGAAAATATGCGAGACAGTTATGGACGGGGGTGGGTGTGTGGGGGGAAGAGGGGGGGGGAAGAAGAAGAGTAGGGAGGGAAGTGGGTGAGGGCGGGGGATGGACTTGTATGGAGTGAGATGGTGGCCCCACACAACAAGGATGGCGTCTAGAGCCACCTCTGCCCTCGCCTCCACATGTACTGCTGCTGCTGCTGCTGCCGCCTGCGTTGTCTTCACCTGCGGGTTGGGTGAGTGGGTGGGGGGGTGGGACAGGGGAAAGGGCAATGCGATTGAAGGGGGAGGGGGAGCAAGGTGAGACGGGGGGGGTTCTGGGGAATTATGCACGCTTGTGAAGGACGGGGGAGGGGAGAGGGGGGGGGAAGAAAGAGGACTCACACACTCAACTCACTCACACACACACACTCACACACTCAACTCACTCACACACCCCGCACACACCTTGGAGGGGTCATCAAGCTGCTGGTCAAAGACCCCCAGCTCGTAGTCTGCATCCTGGGATGCGCATCAAGGAACGCACACACACCCACCCACACACCCGCTCACACAATCACGCACTCACGCACGCACGCACGCACGCACACACACACCTTGGAGGGGTCATCAAGCTGCTGGTCAAAGACCCCCAGTCGTAGTCGGCATCTTGGAACGCACACACACCCACCCACACACTCGCTCACGCACTCACTCACGCACTCACTCACTCACTCACTCACTCACTCACTCACGCACGCACCTTGGAGGGGTCATCAAGCTGCTGGTCAAAGACCCCCAGCTCGTAGTCTGCATCCTGGGATGCGCGCAGGCGCCGTGCGCCCAGCAGAATGGCCTCCCGCCGCACGTACCCCGGCCCCACCGCTGCGATCCAGCACCACATGAACACCAGCCCCGGCCGCGCCATCTGGGTGGAGTTGAGGGGGGGAATGAGGGCGGGGAGAGAGGATGGTGAGCGGGAGTGGGGAAGCTGCGGGGAGTGCGTTTTGTGTTGTGTTCTCAGTTTCGGCGGAGAGAGCGAGAGAGAAGGGGTTAGCACTCAGCCCTCTGCCTCTGCCCTCTGCCCTCTGCCTCCGAGCCTATTTAAGGGCCCCTAGTGCCCTGCCATCTTCATTGTTCGATTTGTGTTCTCAGTTCTCGCCATCTGGATAAGGTGGGGGGAAAGGGGGGGATGGGGGTGGGACCGTGGGAGGAGTGGGAAAGGTGGGGGTGGTGGAGAAGAGTTAAGTGAAAGGTGCTCCCCGGCCCCACAGCTGCGATCCAGCACCACATGAACACCAGCCCCGGCCGCGCCATTTGAACGTAGTTGAGGGGGGGCAACGGACATGGCGCATGGGGCATGGGGCACGGGGCACGGGGCATGGGGCATGGGGCACGGGGCATGGGGCATGGGGCACGGGGCTGGCAATAAGGCATGTGGAATGAGGCCTTGCAGCCAACACGGCCATGGAGCAACACCCGTGCACGTCTCCCTTCTCACCAAACCTTCTTCTCTCTCCTCCCCCCTCTCCCTCATCGCAACCCCTAACACTCCCCCTCAACTCTCTTACCTCTACACCCCTCCCTTCCTCTCTCCATCTCCCGCTCATCCCCACTCTGCTCGCCGTGCCTTCCATCCCTTTCTTCTCCCATACTCGCCGTATCCTCTCCCTCCACCACTTCCGCTTCGTCCCCCTCTTCCGCTCCTCCCGTATTCTTTTCTTCGCTCCCTAGTTAGTCCGCAATTTGTCTCGACAGGTTCCCCTCCAACTTCCGCGTGCGCCTTCCGCTAATAAGCCGCGCGCTCCGCCACCCACATCCTGGCGCGACTGCTTTGCATGCGCACTCTCCTACCGTGCGCGCACTACTACCGCGCACATTCCCGTGCCCACGCCCATGCCCACGCCCATGCCCACGCCCATCCCCGTCCCCATCACCATGCCCATGATAATGCCCATGCCCATTCCATCTTCACATCGCAATCGCAAGCAGGCAGCTGTTTATGGCACTCAACCTGCAAACCGGAGGTCACAACCGAATCTGACCGATCCGAACCAAACCGAACCAATTCGAAAAAAAAAAAACAGGACAAACGGACGAACCTTGCCGAAGCGGGCCTCGAATTCGCGAACCGCCATCCACGCGCCCTGCGGCAAGCGCTTCTCGACGCGCCGGCAGAACTCCGCGTAGTGAATGCGGTCCGTGCCCACGCCGCCCTCGTCGCTCGCGATGCGCGACACGAGCCCCACCACCGGCAGCGCGCCCGTTAGTCTCGCGAAAAAGTTCCCGATCGCGCCCTGCTTAGGCGGCTCCGCGTATGCGCGCACGATCGGCGCAAGCGGAGCGGAAGTGCAGGGGGGAGAGCGGGGGATCTGGATGGGGAGAGCGGTGGCGGGGGAGGTGAGGAAGGAGGAGCGCAGGGTGGTGGCGGGGGAGGGGGAAATGAGGCGGGAGGCGGAGTGCGCGATGGCGCATGATGCGGCTGCCATGGCGGAAGGAAGAGACTCTCGGAGTGTAGTGACGAGGGTGGTGGAAGAAAGAAAGAGAAGCCTGCAGTATAAAACAGGCTGCTTTGATGTTAGGCAGTGTGATGTTGTGTAGTGTGAAGTTTCCTCAGTTGTCTCTCCGCCCGCACTCAATGGTGCTGTTCGCCAGCAAATCGAAGTTTTGAATGAAAAATACGGCATCGGCATCGCGACCGCATCCGGAAACGGAGGCGGAACCCACCTCCGAGGTTTGGGCGTAATGCCACTCGAGAAACTTCTGTTCCCGAAAAGCGAAATTATGCAACCGCATCTGGAACCTCCATCCCCACCTTCCCCCCAAGGGCTTTGAACGGCAATGCAATCGCTGTGCCATCGCTGTCCTTTGAAAAAGGGGGGATGGCGATGGCATAACTTGGGAGGGAATTTTGCCTGGGGACGAAGTTGCGTCCCCGCTTCCATATGCCGTCGAGAAGTTCGATTTGGTTTCGAAATGGGGGCGTTCGCCAGGCCCCCACATTGGTTTCTGGTTTGGACGTTAGGAGAGGCTCGGCAGCATTTTTACGGGCTGACCAGGCTGACGGAGCTTAACGAACCCTAACTGACGGGATCAGGAAGGCGAGACCCACCTTCCTGATCCCATCGTTATCCCGTGGGTTTTGGCTTCAAAGGTGCTGGCGAACTTCCCGACAATTCCTTCCCACTAAGTTTTTTCCGATCTCATCTCCCTCCCTGCAGCACTTCCAATAAAGAGATGGCTTGAAAGAATGGTGCAACCCGTAAAAGGACAAACATGGCGTGGGGTGCGGGCTGGTATGGTCCAAATCGGTAATGGTTGTTTCGACATGGTGTGAGGGGGAACTGAAGTGCGCACCGCGTTGCAGACGCCGCAATCAAAGCAATCCGTGTGGGTCATTATGATT